GGGAGGGGGGCATTTCACATGGATGTTTGAAGGACGGTTCCCCCTCCCCCACCCTTCCTTTTGGCACGGCGTTGGTGTAGTCAAGGGCACTCAGCTCGCGGAAGGCTCCGTGCCAGGCGATGCCAAGGCGTGCCAAGCCCAGCCTCGGGCAGCGCCGGCACCGCTTGTGTTACTTGGCACACTTTGAAAAACAGCCAGGATTGTCAGAACTGTTACCAAGCAATATTTAATTTAGTTTTATGCTCATTATGATTACTTTGACTGTTAGTTCAACCCCTCAATTTAGCCTCTTTTGAGAAGCAGGGACGTTGCTCGCATGGAAAATTACCGGCGCTCCTTCCCTCCCAGAATGCCGCTCTGCACTGCCAGACGCTTGCCGGTCCTGGGCGCGTGTGTGTGCGGATACACACAGACACTCAAACGTGCGTAACACGAGCGTGTATAGGAACAGGTAAAAGATCTCAGACGTCTCGTAAATCTGTGACAGCGGAATAACAAACTGCTTAAATGGTTACAACCAGAGCTAAATCTATTTTTCTTTATTTCTGGCCATGAGTAGTAACACTATACATTATACAGCCTCTGCCCAGGTTACGATGGGCTTCCGTTCCGATAAACTTATTGAAAGGCAAAAATATCAATGCATTTTAATAAAGTGCACCTAGTGCCTAGTTTAGTTTACCTTAAAATCATGCTTGTAATACTTACATTAGCCTACAGTTGGACAAAACCATTAGCACAGAGCCTATTTCATAATAAAATGTGCCATATCTCTTGTAATTTATTGAATAATGTACTGAAAGTGAAAAACGTTTATGAAATATCTTAACACGGACCATCGTAACCTGGGGAGTGCCTCTATTGTGATTAGCATTAGGCCATCAGATCCCCTTAGGCGTCGAAATTAGATAAATATTTCCTGCTGGGAAACTGTAGGTGGAAATTGGGTGTAAAATCCACAGTGGGGCCCATAGCAGGACCATCATCTATCCATCTTCTACGTACTTAGCTTGGTCAGGGTCATACTTGGGCCTGGACCCTAACCCAGACCTGGGCACACACTGGATAGGGGCCTGGACCCTAAGCCAGACCTGGGCACACACTGGATAGGGCGTGAGCAGTAAGGACCAAGGAAAGCTAATTTTATCTTCAGAGTGCTTTTAAAGCAGATGTTCTTAAGTACGTGAACATACTGCAGTGCATTTGGTTGTGCATGTAAAGGGTTTAAAAGTCTCCCAAGTGTCCTTCCTCCTGGTGTGGTGTCTTTTTCTCCCCATTCCTGCCAGGACCTGCCAGAACGGGCACTTCGGGAAGGGCGTCACGTGACCCAGGCCACTTGCGGGCTACGAGGTCAGCCATGTTGGTGAGGTCATAGAGCTGGCGAGGTTCAGCCGGGAACAGATGGCACAGCTCTCAGACAGATGAGCGGGTAACCTCTACCTGCTCCAGCTGTCTGGGAAGCAGACCGGCTTGTTGGGGCTTTGTGGTAGGGAAACGTGGGCCTGGATGCACATGCCCCTTTACTGTAAAGCACTGCATTGTGGGAAACGTGGGCCTGGATGCACATGCCCCTTTACTGTAAAGCACTGCATTGTGGGAAACGTGGGCCTGGATGTACATACCCCTTTACTGGAAAGCACTGCATTGTGGGAAACTTGAGCCTGGATGTACATGCTCCTTTACTGTAAAGCACTGCATTGTGGGAAACATGGGGCTGGATGCACTGGAAAGCACTGCCCTGTATGCACTGTACCTTTCCCACAATGCAGTGGCAAGAGAAAGCCTGTGAAATATATAGAATCATCTATATTCCTGCATTCATTTGACCAAAATGGCAATCATTTGTTATTAAAGTTGGATAAACATTTCCTGCTGGCAAACTGTAGATAGAAATTGTCACATATTATATAGAATAGAGGTGCAATATGTTGTGTTTTTGCAGTTACATGTAACATGACTTTTCTTATTTGTTAACGTTTCATCACAGTTCTGGATTTCCCCACGTGACTCAGTGTATGTGTCTATCGAGATGGAGTCTAAAATGAGATGCAGGTGGCATAACTGCTCCTAAATGCACAGAAATCGCTAGAAGCAGAAGAAATCTGAGTTTTCGGAAGATCTGAGTCTGGATGCAGTTGTACTATTGTACTTTGCATTGTCAACCTCATGTAATACAGCTCAAAAGCATCAATAAGATGAAACACTTCTGTAGAGAGGATCAGGATGAAATACCTGTAAGCTGATGTTCAGGACTGGTCAAGAAGAATGGGGAACATTTTCTAGAAGTCATTGCTGCTCGTCATTGCTGGAGTTGGCTACCACTAACTTAGGTCCAAAGAATGAGTTTTGGATCTTGAAAGGATGCAACAATAACATATCACAGAGATTTTTGACATTATTATGATTTAGATAAAGGTTAGATAACGTTTTTGATCTAAATAAAAAATTTAATATAGATATTTCTAATAGTTGCACAAATCTTACATATGGTAGCCTTGCGTTTAATTACCCTCTAGATTAATAACTGTAATAGAGGTTATTGTACATCAGTGCAAGTGGGCCAAACAAAGACTGATTAAAAACTTACTGTTAATATTTGAAGCCACAACAACAGCCTTTTTCAGTCATCCATAACATGATTTTTCTTATTTGTTAACGTTTCATCACAAAAGGCTGTATTTACATGGGGGTGACTGTTTATACAGAAACTCCCCATTGTTGTTTATAAAACGGAGTGTAGTTTATATCGTTTATTAGCATTGGTGTATTTATTCTAGTAAACTAATATATAACAAACACATTGCTGTAATGCATGCGTCGTTGGCAGAGTGCATTGTGGGAGCTGGCAGCTTATTGTCAGTGAGGACTATGTTAACAGAGTTCTCCAAATGTCCAGCAGGAAGAACGCTCTGAGGAACTGGCATAGCAGAGGGCCCTAAGTAAAATTTGTTTATAAAACCGAGTTTAGATGCGTAATTCTTGTTTATGACGTAACACGGCTCATAAATAGTGTTCTTGTAAATGTTTTGAAAAGCTGCACAAACCATTAATCCCAGGAGACAGATCCAAGACCGCTCTGCTCTCCAGGGCTAGAGCCGAATGGTCTGACTAAAGTGAGTCACTGCACAACCATTTTGAATCACTGTACTATACCCACCATTACTATGGTATAGATATTGCAGCGAGAGTCATGTATTCTATAGAACAGACGTGCTATGTGCTGCGTTTTAGTTGCTATCGAGGTTTTACTGTGTTATAGATATTGTGAATATCATTAACATAATGGGCTGTTTTAAATAGTTCTTAAGAAGTACCACAACCCCTAAACAGGCATATTGAGGAGTTTTAATTGCAATATAGATATAACAACTTTAGGTGGTGCAGGAAGCTTTACTAAGTATTATAGTGAGCAATTGACATATTCCGAAACTGCATCCACTGCAATAATAATGCATGAACCCTTTAAGAGCACAATAACTATTCAACAACTATTCACTAATAGTGCTCATTATGCTAATGGAGAGTGAAAGCTAGAGATTTCTGTAATTTTGGGCACCACTTAATGTAATTGACTGCATTATAATACAGTTCTGGCAGTATACTGCAGTTTTTGTCACAGGAAAATAAAAATAAAGCACAATTAACATTTTCAGAGAATGCTATTCACTTTTAGTCTCATTTATTTTTATTTAGCAATTCATAATAATAACACCTTCCCTTCTAAGAGAAATAACGGGCTTATCGAGAAGCCTTTGTTTGGGAGAAGAGAGAAAAGAATATGGAGACACTCAATGGACGTAATTATCCAGCCTTGATACAGCAGGGATGTAACCAATGAGGTCACTTGCAGTTGTGCATGTGTGTTTGTGGAGGACATTGATAGAGGTGGAAAGTTCAAGTCCAGAAAGTACAAATCCAGACCAAAGTTTTGTTTCAACCATCCAGTTGAGCATAAAGAGTCACAATCACAGAGTACGCAACTGATTGCTTGAAACAAAACTTTGGTCTGGATTTGTACTTTCTGGACTTGAACTTTCCACCTCTGGACATTGTTAAGGGCGACATGACCCATGGGTTTGCCTTTAGACTCCCATTTCTGGACCCTCCCCTCATTTCATAAACAATTCTGTGGCTTTGGAGTGAGCCAATTGTGCCAAGAATGACCCCCCTCCCCCAAAGAGATGCCATACAAGGATAAGCTAGGAACACAGAAAGTCTTCAGCCTTAAACGAAGGTGGTTGAATGGCTGCCGGCTCCAAGTGCACAAAGTGCCAAACGGCACAGGTAGTGTCAACCCAGTGAGGCACTGCAGTTCCATTAGACTCAATAACAAAAAGCCAGAATGAAAGTAGATCAGTTTAGGTCAAACCAAAGAAAATATTTTCCTACATAAAAGTATTACAAGTTTCAAAATATTCCTAGTTGTGAAGGGGGTTCTTATTCACAGTCAGTCCTATATAAAATTCTAAGAATTCTTATTAAAATCGGCCTCCTTTACTATGGAGTGTTTCTGTCCTCGATTGTTGTCAGCCCCTTAATACCTGGGGGCACCTCTGTATATACTCCCCCGGCCACTACCACTGTCGTGGCAACGAGTCCGTCTCTGAAGTTAGAAGTCCGTGAAAGATAATGCTTTGCACGCATAGTGTCCCTGCCGCCAACCCCCCAGACTTACATCATCTTTCAGATAGTCTGTCAGGACTCTTTGAAAGTTCAAAAATTACCTTCATCCCTGGAACTGCGAATAGCTTTGGGGCCTATTCTGACAGGCCTACTGGGAATAGTCTTCTTCTACGCTTGTTATATAAGCAATAAATGACCTACAGGGAAACAATCTATTTCACATCCTAGTCACATGGGTGTTTGCTATATTTTCGTGACGTATCTGTGCTTAAATATAACATTTTGCATCAGCTATAGTTGTGGATAGGGTTATACCAACAGAGCCCGTTCAGGTACCCCGTAAAGCAGGGTTCCTCAGTTCCTGATTTTCCTGCTCAAATACATCTTAACCAGCTAATTACCAGCTTTAGTATGTGTGTTTAAGCAGGTAAATCTGCAAACTGTGTTGTATGGCCCTCCAGGACTGGAAATGGACAACCCTGCCTTAAAGGTACAGTTCTTGAGCTTAAATGTGTGTGGAAAAATGCAGTACAAGAAGATATTATTGTAATGCCTACATAGTTGTTATAAATTGTTACTTATATTTTTCTAGATTGTCAAGATCCTGTGAAAGAAATATTTAAGCACGTTTTGCGAACAGGCCGTAATTCATAGGATTTCATCACACGCCCGAGGAATCAAAGGAACTCCAACAGCCCTGTTGACATACTCAGGTGGAAAGTCAACATGAGATCTTCGATCTTAAGCTTTGAAGCTACAAGCCTGATTTATTCAGGTCCATCAAGAAAGGTGTTCCGGGATCAAAAGTCAATAGAGAATAATCAACTGGGACGATGGCCCCAAAATGTCGACATTTGATAAATGAAGTCAACGGTAAATATTTGCCTTCTGGAATTTTGAGAACCTTCCAACAGAACCTTAAATGTGTCATTCATTTTTCAGAGAAAATATCTCCCTGGTGTATAAATCATCTTTGCGGCCTGTCTGTGAGTTCGCAAAGCCAGCTTCCACATATTCTGTGTCCACCGGACTGTCCAGTTAACAGCTGCTATGACTGGAACAAGGACCGTCGTTCTGCTGTGAAAGAATCAATGTAAATTCTTCAGATTACGATGATTAAAATCTGTTGGCATTGAGTTACATAATGAGCCTCAGAGGGTCCTTCTCTCAGGACTGTTTTCGCTGGAGCTGAGAACAGCTGGACCTTACTATAGGACCAGGAAGTCTTCGGTAAGGCTGGGGCCCAGAGCCGTGCTGCTCCCTGGATCTTGTCTCCTTCCTGGAGCCGTGCTGTTGTCCTTTACGCAACACAAAGGGCTTTTGCTACGTAGTAGGAGCTTCTCTATATGGGATAAGCTTCTTAGTGATTGAGGGGTTTGTTGTGTGGGAGATATCTATGACCTATGAGTAGGGATGTACAATGTACACATTACAGTTATTCGTCCATCCTATGCCTGCTCATGTTGGGTTGGTGGGGGGGGCTGTAGCTTATCCCAGGCAGCATGACGCNGGGGGGGGGGGCTGTAGCTTATCCCAGGCAGCATGACGCTAAAGGCTGGGGGGCTGTGGGGCACCCTGGACAGGATGCCAGGTGAACAACATTATAACATGTCAAATTATGTACACATACTTTTCATAATGAGGGGCCCAGGCAACACAGACCCAGGACGGCATAGTTTGAACAAAGTGCTCTACGCAGTCAGAAAAAGGGGCACTGCTCTGGTATAGGTATAAATAATGTACCCCCAATGGTACAGAAATGATCCTCAGAGTCCATTTCTGTACCTTAAAAGGTATATTTGCCTATAGCTCAGGGTCAGCCCCAGTGACAAGTAATTGTACCCTCAAAGGTACAAATTGTTTTTTTCTGACAGTATATTAGGTAATTATTGGAAAAAAACTTCTAGAAATCTGCACAGTTAAGCAGGTTTAATTCAAAACAAGTTTGCCAGAATAGCAGCCTAACATACGAAGGACCAATACACAGATAAAACTCCTTATTCAGCAATATAAAAACTGCAGTCAGCTGTTAAACTCTGCTTTTCTCCTTACATCACTGTCTCTAACTCCAGTTCTCAGCCGAGAAGTCTTTTTATATCATTTAAGGTGCTCTTAATTCAATTACAGGCAGCTGGGATTCATGACTGTTTTTCTCTGCACAGGACTGGAAGTGATTAGGTATCTCAGTCGTCGAAAATTCAGCCATTCGCTTTCTAACTGTTTCTCACTACCTCGCAGTTTAGAAGCCAAACACAAACGCGATACATCTGTATCTTGGAAGAGGAAAACGATCCGGTTTTAAGAGAAATTAGATGTAATGAAATGAGTGTGGAGAGATTCTGTCCCAGGTCACTGCAAGCATACAATTTTTCAGCAGAGTTATTGGTTAAAGGCTCCCGTGTACGAGCCTGGGAACATAACCAGAATCTATGGCACCATTTCTATGGGGAAATGCACTCTGAGCTCATGTGAAATGTAACCTGTGTGTAAATTGGAAACATCCCATCCAGTGGAAGTAAATAAATTGTGAATTTTTCACATTGCAAATGTGACCAGTCAGGATTTTTCAGGCAAGATGGCAGAACGTGAATAAAAAAACAAAAGCTAAACGAAAGCGAAACGAAAGCGCAGTGCTCGAACGAAACGTCTGGGTTAATGAATCTGGCTATTGCACCTTTAGGTTGAATCACTGATGCCGTTGGGGATTTTGCTTAGCATTTCACTCCCAGGGTCTCCTCCTGACAGGCAGATGAGCCTTCAGAGGACACTTAGCTCAAGCGGCAGGATTCTCGCCGCACCTACCCCCCAGTGAAACGTGAGCGCCTGTGAGGCCCCCTTCAAGAGCCTTGAGTGGCAGATGAAAGTCTGCAGCCCGAAGACGAATAATGACCTTGTTCGCCCGCGGCTTCGTGTCTATTTTACACCTGTCCTCTGATCACCTGACAGTCCACCCTCCCAACGTGTCAGAGGCCCAAATGGTGGAAGGGGAGCAATTAAACCGAGTGCACCTTCACGCTAAAGCTAGCCCACGGGCCTTACGCATTATGTCACGCTAGCAGTCTCGCTTATTGACGGCGGAGATTATTATCTTTTCCTTTAGTCTGGATCCTGCTGCATCTGCAAATCTCAGGCAGCTGTGGGGTAATTAAGGCTCTGGAATGCAAGCGAGCGTGGGGGTGCAGTGCGGGCCTGAAATGCCCCCCCCCCACATACCTTAAACAGGACATGTGTTTGCAGTTGTAGATAAGGATGTGTCCAGGACAGGTGAGTCACTGAGCAAGTAATAATAGCCAGCTGGGGAAACTGATGGTGATATTGTATCTGATTGTGAATGTGTTTGTCCTGCACAGATTGCAGGGATTATAACATGTGTAAGTGCTGGCTGCTGTACTAGTGCTCTATATGGGGGTGGGCGGAGTCAGTGTGGAGCATGCTTTTTATGGGGTGGGCGGAGTCTGTGTGGAGCATGCTCTTTATGGGGGTGGGCGGAGTCTGCGTGGAGCATGCTCTTTATGGGGTGGGTGGAGTCTGTGTGGAGCATGCTCTTTATGGGGTGGGCGGAGTCTGCGTGGAGCATGCTCTTTATGGGGTGGGCGGAGTCTGCATGGAGCATGCTCTTTATGGGGTGGGCGGAGTCTGCGTGGAGCATGCTCTTTATGGGGGTGGGCGGAGTCTGTGTGGAGCATGCTCTTTATGGGGCTGGGCGGAGTCTGTGTGGAGCATGCTCTTTATGGGGTGGGCGGAGTCTGTGTGGAGCATGCTCATGTTCCCAGGGTTTTCCCCTCCTCAAGGCCACCAGTGTTTCCGTGTGTTGGCTCATTTATTTATTATAGAAGGAAAATTTGAGTTGCTTTTGTCCCTGGTGGTGGTGTCCCTTCAGGGCGACATATTTGTGCGTGAGGACATTCTAGTTTTGTGCCGGGCAAGAACGAGGTCAAACGAAGGGAAATGAATATGGGCATGAGCACGCACCTGCACCTGTGTGACGACTGTAAGTCTCCATGGTCACCTGGCTGGTCCAGATAAATGATCGGCATCTGGGAGTGACACCATCAGGTCAAAAACAAAAACAAACTCCAGCTATTAAGTTAGTGTTCTGCACATGGCCAAACTGAAAAGCATTTGGCTTTTATTTCACGAATCCTGCACTTATAAAGAAAGCAATCGACGGCTGCAAAGTACTGAAAATCCAGTTTACTTCAGACATGTGACTCTTGGTCTCACTCGACAAATCCCAGTCAAAACAGAGATAAGCTATTTGACTTGTGTATATAGGGTTTAAGATGATCGGTGTGAATGTGTACACCTGATCAAACAAAGAGCAAGATCGGGAACGTCAAGCAACTAACACAACAAAACAGCACAGTATAACAGTATAAGAATTCTTTACATAAGATTTAATGAATTACACCTGGAGACAGATGAGTACAAACATATATTCAATACTTGGTTCCCCAGTTTCAGTTCAGTTTGCTGCACATCTATTAAACATGGTACTTAGTTGATTATTTGAGCAGGGAAATCTGCAAACTGTGCTGGACTTAGGCCCTGCAGGACCGGAATGGGGAAACCCTGGTGCAGTGTATATTAGAGCAGTGTTTCTCAAGCCGGTCCTCAGGGACTTGCAGACAGTCCAGGTTTTTGCTCCAACAGTAGGAGTTGGGAGCTGGGAGGGAGCAAAAACATGGACAATCTGGGGGTCCCTGATGACCGGCTTGAGAAACACTGCATTATAAGACATAAATAATATATATTACATTTTTGCTCTGTTATGGTTAAAAAAATACTAATTGCTTTGTGCAGAACTGATTCACATTTTGATGAATGTTATTAAACACTGTAATAACGGCATGACTGGAAGTAGATATATTATGTACATGGGTCTGGGCTCTGGTAAACAAGCCCTCCCCAGGAAGACGCAGGGCCCCCTCATTCCAGGCCGGCCTGTGGGAACATCACCCATTCAGCAGCTCGTCAGTTTCGCTTTTCAGTCCTCGGTTCAGGCTCATTGCCTCGTCGTTCCCGCTCTGCTGACCCTGGATCGATTCGCTCACTTTTCTCCACCCTGGGTTCAGACAGGGCTTACAGTAAACGGCAGAAATGCAGCCTGAGTAATAAAACGTGTTTATGCCTGTTTTTGTATTGAATGAGTTTCCACTAACTGGAAAGAAATCTCTCTGACGGAAGCAGTATGTTAATTAATAGAACTTTAATCATTTAATTTAATCATAGTACAACTATAGTGCTATTCTCCTCCTTGGTGCACTATGTGCCTTGTGTGGTTTTTATTTGATTAGGATCTCTGTGATTTCACTGCATGATAAATAGTTTGATTGACTGATTTTTTGATGGATTCGTCTTTCAGCAAAACAAAGTCTGCTGGAAAAATGCCCAACATCCGTTCAAGTTGTTGATAAATACATTGTGTGCTTTTCAGACTAGATAAAGGGAATTTTTGTGCGACTCTCTCATGGAATCGTTGCCGCAGCGTTGACGTGAGCTTTTGGAGAATATTGCGTGTTCTATAAGCCACTGTGAAACCAAAACAGGATCCTTCAAACAGCGTTTCAGAGTTTATTTTGCGACGGGGAGCAGGAGGGGGGGTGG